ATGGATTTCTAAAGAAAAATAAATTAGTTATTTATGCTTACTCTGCTTGTTTTTGCATTATACAAGGTGTGCAACAAAATGACTTTGGTCAGAAACCATTATTTAGTATAATTATTATTATTATTAGTAGTAGTATTCAGAGTTTAACATGTCACGTTGCAAACATTATTTTTGCAAGAGGACATTAGTGTTTTATTTCTTAGTTTGGTTTACAAAAATAATGTTTTTGAGTTTTATAAAAATGTTATTGACCTAAAACTTTTTAAAATGAGTATTGGAATTATTAAAAAAAATGTTTAAAAAAGATTAAGCTAATTCTTGAACAGAGAATATATACTTTGGTTATATTCTCATCATCAATAACAAGTAAAAACTTTTTTCTACGACCACTATGTAAAATTCACATTTTGTAATAGCATCATTGCTTAGTAAATGAATCTTTTCATTGGCAAGGCAAAACACGAATGTAAAGTGACATTTCTGTGTGAAAAGTGACAGGTCTGTGTAAAAAGAAATTGACAGCATCGCTTAAAATTTGTTTCAAAAATTGTATTGTATTTGTGTATGTATGTCTAAATATCATTTCACAATTAATTGTGTTTGTATAATAAATTCCAATTTTAGTGCCTTTATTTAAATTGAGAAGGTAAGTTTATTGATTTTATGTAACTTATACCTTAAAAATTAAAAAAATAAAATGAAAGTAATTTTAACAGCTGTCAAACACGTTTTTTGGTTATTTTGGTTTGTGTTTGAATAAAATAAAAAATAAAAGGGTCGTAGAAAAAACATTGTGTTTCACTTGTGTGAAAAGCTTTCTTCAAGCTCGTGTTAATACACACTCGGCCTGACGGCCTCGTGAGCAACTTAAACACTCGCATGAAAAAGTCGCTTTCCAACACTTGTAAAACAAATAACTATTAGTTCGTGAACAAAAGTACTACCTATTTAGCGAATTGGTCTACAGAAATTTACAATGTTCGATATAAAATTCTGCTTTTGATTTTTAACTCAAATCTAATTAAGTAATTGATTTTTCTTTTTTTTTTTTTAGTAAACTAAGTGAACTAATCTAACAATAAATAAACTGTTTATAAAACTATATTACTAACGAAATTTCTAAAAAAAGAATTCTTTTGAATCTATCTGCATTATGAGCTGCTTAATATGCAGGCTCCATATCTAAAAGTAATTTCAATACATCTTTTTGAATGTGTATTTTCTTTTAGAATAGATATATTTGAATAAATCACTAAAACAAAATGCTTTTAAATTTAATAAAATAAATACAATTTTAACCTATATACAGAGTGAGCCATTTAACTTGAAACTTTGAAATACCTCAGTTAGCATGCGTTTTACGAAAAAATGTTTAAAATAAAAATTAAATGATTCGAGGGGGGAAATCAATCAGTACTAAAATTGGTCCTCATACTCTCCTCCTTACCCAGGTAGCACACTGACGTTTGCTGACGTTTATATGACGTCTTCTGACGTTTAAATGACGTTAGCAACGTCATTTCAACGTCATATAAACGTCAGCAGACGTCAGTGTGCTACCTGGCTATAGGGGTAACATGGGGTAACTTTAAAATTTCCAATGGAACACCCTATTTTTTATTGCAGATTCGGATCATTCGACTAAAAATAGGTAAATTTTGTCTAAAACATTTTTTCATATTTCTAATAGATGGCGCTTTAATGAAAAAAAAACAATTTTGTTTGATTTTTCTTCTGTATAGGTACGTTTCTGCAATAATTTTTCTATAAAAATATCACTTTTTTGGGTAATAATTATATTATTAAATTAAATCTGATTTTTTTAAGTACCCACGATTTTTTAACTAATGTTTAAGTTTCCTTTGGTTTAAGTTTTATACATTATTTCATTCGGTGATAATTATCAATTGCGCACCATGGTCACTTTTTACGTGCCAGCATTAAATCCTTTACTTTAAGGATTATTGTACTATTTTTAATAAAAATACCTCATTTAAGGTTAAAAAAACATTATTTTGCCAATTAATTAATTTAATATTAATTAAGGTAAAAAATGGTATTTAGTTATAAATAATAATTATTATTGAGGTATAAAGAAACTATTTATAGTTTAGCATTATTTAATCAATTTAGTTGGAAGAAAACAAAAAGACCTCCTTTTGTTAAGCAGTTATTCATAATGGATTTTTTAACAGTGAAAAAACCAATAGAAATGATTTTGATTTATGGAGAAGCAGGCAGGAATCTTGATGATGCTGTTAATATCTACGCTCAGCGTTTTCCGGATAAAATTCGATCACGTACTTCATTTCACCATACAGTCAAGCAGTTTACTACAAACGGGAGTGTTCAATCGAAAAAAAAACAGTTCGTCGGGCAAAAGGTGGAACAGGTGGAAATAATGAAATTAATTTATTAGCAGCAACGGCCGCTAATCCTCATGCAAGCACACGAGAATTATCTAGAAATTTGGAATTATCCCAGAGCAGTGTTAGCAGAATATTAAAACGAAATGCGAATTAATAAATGCATTGAAGTCGAAGGCCACCATTTTGAGCACCTACTTTAATTAAAATTTAAAAATAAATAAATTAAAAAAATAAAACCAAGTATTTTATTCAAAAATTATTGGAGAATCGTATACAGAAGAAATGGATTATAATTGAGATATTTCAAAGTTTCAAGTTAAATGACTCACCCTGTATGTATGTACAAAGTGCAAAAAATCTTTACCGTTGTGAACAACGTTCACTGAACATTCATGTTTACACCGGTAAAGATTTTGAATTACTCACATAAGAGTTTAAGGACATAATTCCTAATCCAAATAAATTTTAAGTACCTACCTACCTATCTGTAAACAAATTCCATGATTGATTGAAATATTCATATATTATATCACGAGAACTATGAATTTAATCGGTTAAACTAGGCTCAGTAGTTTTTTGTTTGGTTTTTGTTGGAAAATGTTGAATGCAAAATAATTTAATAAAATCACGAAACCGCGTAGCGGTCGAGGGGTTTTATTTTTAATTATTTTGCATGAAACTATTTTCCAAAAAGAAAAATCAAATAAAAAACTTACTGAACATAGTTTGACAGATTAAATTTATAGGTTGAGTGATATACGTCTAGATTATTTCTCGAATTAAAGGAAACTATTTGAGGCCTGTCAGAGCAAAGTCAACAATCTCCCGTCAGACTAAAACTGAGTAAATTGAGATAATTGATTTTGGTATTTTAAATTCTAGATTTGTAATTTTTTTTATATATTATATTGAAATATTGTTGTTGTTGGTCTAGTAGCCAACTACAGGGTCTCCAGGAAGCATAGCATAGGTGAATCTATAATTATAAATTGGTGATTGCTGACTTTGATATGAATTGCTGGAGATTGCTCATTTTGTTGTAAACGTTTAAGGAGATTAGGAAAAATAAACAAAAAAATAATTGTATTTTTATTCCTTTAATGGTTATAAAATTTAACTATACAATCAATGTGGGAAAATTCTGAACTGGACCACATAAATCTGGAGTTTCTTCTAAATCTGGGACCAGGTTGCCTCGTGCAAGAAAGTTTTTATAGTACAACAGTAAAACGTATATGTATACCTACCTATTTTAAATATATTTTTAAGTGCAATTTACTGCAATAGAACTTAACAGTATATACCAGTAAAAAAACACAAAATTAAATCTCTAAAATACGTTATAACATCAAATTTTAGGGTATCAGGTGACACAAATTACTAATTTCTAATGGTGGAATTGGAGATTGTATACTTTGCTGCAAATCTATCAGTGGAGATTGTCGACTTTGCACTAAATGTCATTTTTAAAATAGGATTTTAGGCAGGATTTTTCTCCTTTTGCAACACATAAACTTTATCATCTTATAGATAATTAGTTGAAGTACAATCTCCGCCAAAAATCTAATTTTTGACCAAAAGTGGAAATTGTCGGTTTTGCTATGACAGGCCTCATTTGACAATTCATAAAATCTGACGTATGTGTCAAAATTTATAAATATTTTTTTAAAGAAAATTCCATTAATTTAAGGTATGTAATAAGTAATAATTGATATTTCGTAAACTAGATAACTTATTTTTTATTGTTTTTTAAAAAATGTTTGTTAAAACTTGTAAATAACACCATAAAATCGTAAACAAAAATCCAATATGAAGGCTAAAATTTAATCGCTGTTAAAAAGTTCTAGTGATTTATTTGCTTATTTAAACGAAATTTATTCGAAAATTCAAGGCTTTTGATTGGTTCATATTATAATGAGGGAAATAATCTTATGTAAATTTTAATTTTCGTTATTCTTTAAAGAAGGCAATTGCCTTTAGATGGTTTAAAGTATTTGATAAAAGGAACTTTAAAATAAGGAAATATCTATATGTAAATTTGCGAACATGAAATAAAACGAAAAAGCAAGATGACGAAAATAAACGCAAACTTAAATCCAACAATTGTACATTGTTATAGCTTACTGAAATTCATACTTTACTATTTACTCAGGGTGGAGTGAAATACATGATGGTAACCATTTCAAAACTTGATGGTAAAAATTTATTATGTCTATATTGGAGAACATGGTGTCCTATCACTACAACTAAAGAAAATAAAAATGATATTGATCAGACAATGTTTGGAGGGTCCGCCACCTTTTTAAAGTTCAGAAGATAAAATATGATCTTCAAAGAGGTGGCAGACCCTCCAAACATTGTCCGATCAAAATCAATCAATATAGGCGTTTTACATTTTTACCATCATGTATTTTGCTCAGCTAATATGGGCATATTAAATGGTTACCATCATGTATTTCACTTCACCCTATAAATATATTGAAAATTTGTTGTTTTATTTATTATTGTATGATAATAGTTATCTTTTATGGAATTAAGTAACGTTAATATTTTTTCGTAAATTGGAGGCCAGGTGTCAAATTACAAAAAACGGTGGTTAACATATAAAAATTAAAATGTATAGTTACTTACGTCTGGGTCAACTTCTTTTGCTAGCGCATTTAATTCCTCTTCTGACAGTTTATTTAATAAATCGTCTACATCAATGTCATCATACACACTGGGATCTTTACCATACAATTTTGCTGGTATTGTTTCTACAGTGGTGGTTGTAGAAGATTTCGTCTGAAAAAATAAAATTAAAAATAACACTTATCCCAATTATAAATATTATAATTATAATAGTGTTATTTCAGAAACAGATTATACGTATAGTTACGGTAATTTGCTACGAAACCTATTTTTGATTTGTAATAAATAATAAGTAATTTTAATCGCAATAGAAAATTTAAAACTAGGATATATTACTTAGTAGTGAATATAAAATGCATAATTGGGTAATATATTCTTTGAAAAAGGTATTCTGATCAAAATTATGATAAAATTACATATATGTAGGTTCTTCTTTAGGGATTCCATTCTTCCTGTTATTTTTGTCGCGTGGTGTCATTAGGTTGAGTGATTAGGTTAAGTGAATTTACAGGTTAGGAGCGACTATAACATGTAAATTCTAATAGTGACTTGGATGATTACAGAGCAAAGGTAAGTACCTACCCATTTTAATAATATTATGTAAATAGGCAATATATATCAAAGTGTTAAAAACTTTTGAAAAGCATCAATATTTTGGTAATAAACACATTTGATTGTCTTTATAGTGGAACAAAGTGAAAATCCTCATCGAAGCCCAAATTATTATATTTACGATAAAATAAAAAGGCATTATTATAAAAAAGGTTCATAGAAAAACTTGCGTGCCTATGTCCCCAGCAGCTATCAGATTTTTGGTCCTGACAAACCGTTAGAAAACTACATATATGGTAAACAAAAAAATACTTTACCCACACTTAATATGAGTTTTGTTTAATTAAAAAAATTAATCTATCACTATCGACTGGTCTATATGATGCCTTTGTATTGTTTGTTGGCTAACGCTTTGCAAATAAATTATAAATCATTACATTTTTAACACTTTTGTAAAAATCAAACAGGATGCCAAAAAAATAAAAATATCATGGAATGCAAAAACAAAACGAATCCCATGCGTTATTCTAATAGTGGAGCGCAACCTTAGGATCATAAGGTTGAATTGTACGAATTTTTAATCCAAAAATAGAATTTAATCAAAGTATAATGCATCATAGTAATGAGGCAGTAATTTCTCTTGTTTGGCTGGTATTTAATAATATGTTTTTAAGTGAAAACCGAGATAATACTTACTAAAAACTTAATTTAAACTTTCTATAAATTTGCGTTAAAACGACAAAATAAAATTTGCGGCTTAAAACCGCTTATTAATAAATAAATAAAATAAATAGGAAAATGATATTCTATACATATAAAAGTTTTGATCATTTGGTTGTCCAGTGAACTTTTTTGCTCTATTAATGGGTGTTATTTATATTCTGTCTCATGATTTTAAATATAAAATATATTTTGTTTTGCTTGAACGCTTGAAATAAATGTAGTTTACAACACTTCAGCCCGATATTACACCTACTCATAAAAATAGATTTATTTGCAATTTTATTGCATATATTACACACAAAAAATTGTAGGCAATAATTTTTTATTACTTTGTAAAATAAATATTAATGAAGACAACTTCTTTGTGTAGTTGAAAGGGTATGGGTTTGTGTAATTTGTGAGGGACAAGTTTCCAAATGTTCCACTGCCAAAGTTTTAATATTGAGTAAACACTGTTGTAAACTGCACATAGGAAACTAAAAACGATGTTACATTTTAAAAAACGAAAATATAAATTTTCCAAAAATTAAATTAGTAATAGCATGTCTCACTTGTAGGTCTATTTATAAACTCTTTTAAGATAAAGAAAGTTATTTTTCTAAATCCATTAATTTCGTAGATTATATTTATAATTTACGAGTTCTTTTATGTTCTTCGACTAAATATACATAGGAAATTAATTATATTTTGTGTAAATAACTTAACATGTGGTTATATTTTTTTTTATCCTGGTCATTTCTCTTCTCTGTTTATCCTTCATCGAGTTATCCTTACATTTTTAAAACCTTTTAATCATTTTAACCGGCAAAAAAAAACCTTTTGATAGTAAATAATAATACTTAAATCTCACCGAGAATTGCTCGCGTCGCGAGGTGCTTTGCGCAAGCTTATGTTCTGCGACCTGCGACAATTGTAGACCCGGCTTTAGAGCTACTGTTTTAAGGTGGGTTTATGCAGACTTAAGACTTAAAACTTAAAACTTAACATTTAAGACTTAAGAATTAAAAATTAAGCGAAAATTTTGTGGCGTTCATGCAGCATTTATCTTTAAGACTTAAAACTTAAGGAGTAACCAATCAAAATCTATAAAAATATCACGTGGTATCAAGTTGGTACTACCAACATTAAAATGACAATTAACATTGAAATTTTACCGTTGTGTTTTGCGAATGCGTATATTTTTGTTTATCAACGTTTTTTATAATCTGTGTTTACTAGTTTAATCTAAAATGGATCGAAACTATCTATCATTTGAGCACAGTAATTTCAAGAAAAACATGAAACACGAATTTTTAAATTTTCAGTTACAACAACCATAGAAAAAGAAACAGTTTAATTTAAAATTCCCTAGTTAACGCTTGCGCAAATGCGATTTCATTTAAGAATTAACAATTAAGACTTAAGAAAGATAAAAGTTTATTATCTTTCAAGGTCATTTTTCTTAGTTCTTAAATCTTAAGTCTTAAATGGTGCATAAACGACCTTAAAGGAAATCAATGAAATAACCTAACTTTTAACTTCTTAATTGTTAAATGTTAAGTCTTAAGTCTTAAGTTTTAAGTCTGCATAAACCAGGCATTATAATAAAAAAATTATGAAATTTTTTTGACAAAATCAGGGAGCCACTGGATGTCACTGACCTATCCTATACATCTATATCATCAATGTTTTTATTTTTATTTTGAATATTATTCAAAAAAGAAACGGGTATGCGCACAGTGCAGGGGCGCCGGAATGTTTTGAAAGCGTGTGTTAAGTAGATCTAGTCATAGTCATTTAGGAGGCATTCAAGTATTACGTAAGCAGGCTTTCTGAGAAAGGGAGAGCACTTTTGTTATTTTTGCATATACAGGGGTAGGGGGTCTAAAATCATGTGTGCTTACGTAATGCTTAAACGCTCCATTAGGGGGACCTTTAAAAAATAAGTTATTTCAAGTAATGGCAATAAAGTGTTGTTTAGTATACCCAAAATAAAAGCATTATTATAATACCTACAATCAATGGCGGCTGGTGGATTTGCATATCTTAGTTATTAGACTTGGGACCCACACCAAATTTATATGAGTTTATAATGACACTAAATAAACAAGTTCTACGTAAGCAGAATTTAAATAGATGTATGGCGAAAAAAAATTTAAGTATTGTTATTAGTAATTTACCATAGTTTATTGACAAATTTCAAAATTTATTTAAAAAATCCAAGTAGTTATTACAGATTTTAACACATTTTATTTGTTTATTATTTTAAGAAAAGAAATAAAAATTTAAAATGGTATAAAATCTGTAATATTTGGATTTTTTTAAATAAATTTTGAAATTTGTCGATAAACTTTGGTAAGTTATAAATAGCAACACTAAAATTTTTATTATCTTTATTCGGGGGGGCAGGCTGCAGGGTAGGCGGAGCAAAAACTATATTTTTTTCGCAAACTTTAATTACAATTCTGCTTGCGCAGAACTTGTTAATTCAGTGTCATTAAAAACTCATATAAATTTGGTGTGGGTTCCATATCTAATAACTAAGATATCGGTATACGCAAAATCCACCAGCCGTCACTGCCTATACAATATTTTTATTCCGAAAAAGATCTTTTGACAAAGCAAACACATTGATTAGTTTCCCATTTCTTGATATAAATTCGTTCATCAGATTTTCTAAACCTATTTTGTCTGCCAACTCGTGGTAAATATGTAATATTGCAACAATATTCAAATGTTTCATGTCCCATCGTGTTTCGAACGTACTATTTTAATCTGTAGCCAAATGCAGCTAATGTAGATTGTTGGGTTGGGTTGAGTGAAATTTAAAGATCCGACAAAAATTTTTGATTATCGCATTCCAAGTGTTGAATTTCACACATAGAATCTACACTTGTGTTGAGTTCTAAACACACACAACAGGCCTTCCGGCGCCCTTTGCAGTGTATTATGTAATATCAAGAAAACTTTTAAACTGATTTAAAATTGATTAGTATACTATACCTATAGGTACTTATCATTGATTAGTGAAAGTTCGGATGTTATTGTGGTTTCCCTGGGGCTACATGAACAGTTTATACCAGAGCGAAGTTGACACATTAGAACAACTCCGCGAACTTGTCACTGCAGCGGCAGATAAAATCCGAAATCATCCGAATATGATAGCAAGAGCGACAATAATTATCACAATTTTTTTCGCCGCTGTCAAAGTTTGTTTGGATAATAACGGCGGGATAGTTGAATATTTATTATGATTTTGTGGAATACTTAAAAAAATAGCTAAATGAGCATCAATCGACGTAAAAAGTAAAAGGTGAAATTTAAAATCGACAGGAAAACCACGGATACCTAACAATAAAAAGTAAGTATTGATTTATTCAAACTACCTAAAAATAACTGAGTATGCAAAACAAAAAACAATTATCAACAAATTAATCAATGATAACAACCAGTTGCGGCCCAAAATTTCTACCTTATTATAAAAATGTTAATGTTTTTTTTATTCTTTAAAAAATTGCACCAACGAAAAAAACTTTTCTATTTTGGCGTGTACTATCATCCCCTTAAAGGATGACAACTTATTTGGTGACACCCTGTATACTTATAAAGAGGAAAACATTTTCGAAATTAATTTATCCAAAGGTAAAAAAGTATAAAATTTATTATTTATATATTTATTATACAATTTTTATTTTGCTCTCGCAAGCCTACCCTGCTGAAAATGACGGATGATTGCAGATATAAATTCTTCGTCAAAACCGGATAAAAGCAGATGATTGCGGGTATAAATTCTTCGTCGAAGCCGGATAAAAGCAGATAAAAGCGGGTAAAAATATCATCTGATAACATCTGCTTTTGATCGCATCGCTATATCCGCGAACACCCGGTTGGTTGTGTTT